GCGTGCTGCCCGCCGGCTCCACCGAAGCACGCCAGCACGTGGGCTGAGGGGTCGTGGCCTCGGGCCTGGGAGGGCAGAAGGGTCAGCAGAGTGCGGCGCCCTGCCGGCCTACCCCCTCCGCCCGCCGGCGGCCGGCGCCTACCTGTGTGAGGGCGCGGATGGGCCGGCACATGGCCTCGTTGGCCACCCGCACAAACCCCATGGCCACCTCCTCCAGGCTCAGTGGGGAGCCTGGGCAAGGCCCGTTGGTCAGAAAGCCGTTGACCTCGGTGGCCACAGCCTCCAGGGCCTGCCGAGAGGCCTCAGGGGACAGCGGCTGGTCCTCTCCAGGTCCGAAAATGCAGGGGAACGAGGCCGGCAGCAGGCGGCCCAGGACGAGGTTGGCGTCTGTCACGGTCACGGGTCCCCCTGGCAGGGTGCAGGGTGCACGGTGTGGGTCGGGCGGGCGCGGGCGGGGCGGCAGGGCCGCGGGCGCTCCCGGCTCTCACCTTTGCGGTAGCAGGCGGGGCCGGGATGGGCTCCTGCAGACTCAGGTCCCACCACGAAGAGGCCCGACCTGGACACAAGCGGAAGCCGTGGCTGGCAGGCGGGAGGGGGGCGAGGGGCCGCCCGGCGGGAGGGAACTGACCTGAAAAACAAGCGTGAGCCCCCGCCCGCGGCCACCGTGTTAATGTCCAGCTGGGGCGCCTGGAGGGTGATGCCGGCTGTGCTGGCCTCGAAGACGTGCTCAAACTCCCCCGCGTAGCGGCTCACGTCCGTGGAGGTGCCTGTGCGGGTGCGGGTGCGCGGCCGCCCTCAACGGAAGCCCGAGCCCGCAGCCGGGCTCCCCGACCCTGCCCCGGGCTCCTACCTCCCATGTCAAAGCCGATGACGGGCTGCCCGCCCTCCGCCCGGTAGGTGGTGGCTGCGTAGCCCACCACGCCGCCCGCGGGGCCGGACAGCACGGCGCGCGAGCCGGTGAAGGAGTCCATGGGCGCCAGGCCGCCGTCGGAGCGCATGAACAGCACCTGCACGTCCTGCGGGCCAGGGGGGCAGCGC